TTAAATAAGGTACTTACCTCAAACAAATCAAATCACTTTGCTAGCAAGCCCTTACCATGCGTATCAATCTCCGGAATGCTCGAATCTAGCGAAAAATAACATAATACTATCAATAAAAGCTATAGGAATTGATCCCAAATGATAAAACTAAGATCTTTAACCAAAGTCAAAAAGCCAACCCCAAAATCCAACCACGGGCCCACGTCTCGAAACCCGGAAAAATTTATAAAATCAGAATACCCATTCAATAACGAGTCCAACAATACCAAAATCATCCAATTCCGACCACAAATCAACTCTCAATCTCTCAAATCTTACTCTCCAATACATGGGACAAAATTCCCCGAATTCCAACTTAGATTCATGATAAATAGATGAAATAATCATTTGGGTAATCAAAATACATGGATAAAAGTGATCAAAATTCGCTTACCTTTTCAATCTAGATGAAAACCTCTCAAAAAATTGCCTAAGTCCGCACCCCAAAACTCTCAAACGGGAAGAAGACTCAAACCCTCGATTTTAAATTCCTACCTAGTCTTTTCGTTCTTGCGGATTCACCTGCCGCACCTACAGCTCCGCTTCTGCGGAGGAAAGCCTGCTTCTACGAAAATCACTTAAGCACCCGACCAGCTGCACCTACGGGCCAATTTTCGCACATGCGGGACCGCTTCTACGGTCCAGGCTATGCCCATGGGCGTCCGCACCTACGGTTCCAATCCGCTTCTACGACCTTAGCCCCTCCTACCGAATTTCGCATCTGCGGAGACCTCATCGCATTTGCAGGCTCGCAGATGCGGAATATCCAACGTACTTGCGTCCACTGCCCAACACACACAGGACCCCACCTGCGACCCCATGGCCACTTTTGCGGCTCCGCATCTGCGGCCTATTTCTCGCAGGTGCAGTTTCACCAGACCTGATCACACCAGCTCTTCCAAAATTCCAAAATTCAATACGATCACTCCCGAGGTCCCCGGGACCCTATCCAAACATACCAACTCATCCTAAAACAAGACACTAACTTAGTCCAAGCCTCAAATCCCATCAAACAACATCAAAAGCACAAATCACACCACAATTTAAGCCTAATGAACTTTTGGATTTCCAACTTCTAAAATCGATGCCGAAACCTATCAAACCAACTCCGATTGACCTCAAATTTTGTACGCAAGTTATAAATGACACAACGGACCTATTCCAACTTCCGAAACCAAATGCCTTGGTATTACAAATATTATTTTGCTATACACTATCTTTGACGGAAATGAAGAAAGAAGGAATTAATTTTCATTTTATCATTAATTCATAAATGTCATATAGAAATTTATCAGGTGCAAATTCTAACACAAACGGGTAGTTGCATAAAAAATGTATGCGACGTATCTTTTTTTTTTTTCTTATGAACAATAATTAGTGTTAAAACCCGCGCGATGCGCGGATAATTTGACGGAATATTAATCTTATAAAATTATGATCTAATATGTCATATTATTTTAATAAATATTATTTATATTTTATTATTTAATATAGTATGCCGAAATATAACAAAATCTATACAAACTCAAAGGATGCACATCATATAGTAACAAATAAATTATTTATTCCTTATTTATTCTTATTGTCAAATTAGCAAGCAGTTAATACTATACATTTACTAATGTGATTCTTAATTAACTTGTCAATTGGCTTAATATTTTGAAACTACTTCTATTTTAATATAATATAGATATATATTTTCTTACTCTTGAAATATATATATTTTTGTTTAAACTTATGTTATAATGTTCAAAATTCTTCAATTATCTAAATTTATTGATAAATTTTGTGAGTTTTATTTATTAATCTTTTATTTTTTTAATCAATTCAAAATATAAATATCATAAAATTATCTTTATCCTCCTCTTTTCATACATTCTTTTCTACTATAATATTTGATTAGTTTTCTCATTTTATAGTTTACTGAAAATTTAAATAATTTTATTTCTTTACTAAATTATAATTTTGAATATCTCAAAAGTATACAGAGATAAGAATTTTATTATTTTTATAAAAAACCTATCAATACTTTAATTATTATTAATTTGTGTTATATATATAATGTGCTTATCTTATATATAATATCATAATAGTATCTTTATATTTTTCATTATGAAATTATGAGTTTATTATTTAACTAATTTTCTAGATGAAAAATTTAATTAGTATATATATTTTACACTATCGCTTGATTTTTTTTTTCTTAGCATTCTTCCTCTATAACTATTTATTTATTATGATTTTAGCTATGTGTATATATGCGACTTCTCTCATCATAATTCTAATTATAAGTGTTATATTTTCATATTTTTCACAAATTTATATTATTTTTTTTTTGTTCCTTGCTTATCTGATTGCATTATCAATTACTTAATTCAAATAGAGTATTCAATTAACTGAAAATATAAAATTCAAAATACTTTTTTAGTTAGAAAGGTAGTTTGTTTTGTCTTAACAATGACGCTTGGCTTTTTGTAGTTATGTCACTTGGCTTAATGAGATAGTTTTTTCTTCTACTTTTAATTATAGATAGATATTAGGAAGAAACTACTATCCATTCAATTTGAATTTTTTGTTTTTTATTTTTTCTTATTTTTTATATTAAATAATTTTAAAACCAACTTGGAAGTACTCCATATTTTGAATGGGTAGTTCTTTTTTATATTTTCGTTTTTTATTAGGCTTTTTGTAGTTATGCCACTTGGCTTAATGAGATTGCTTTTTCTTCATAATTTTGAATTCACCAAAAGTATAAAGAGATAAGCATTTGATTATTTTTATAAAATATCTACCAATATTTTAACTATTATTAATTTGTGTTATATATTTAATATTCTTATCTTATAATATCATAATAGTATCTTTATATTCAAAATATACTATTCAAAATATATGTAAAGTCTTATATATAATATCATAATAGTATCATTTTGTTAATAAAATGAGATTTAAAAAATAAAATTCAAAGTATTTTTTAGTTAGAAAGGTAGTTTATATTGTCTTAACAATGCCATTTGGCTTTTTGTAGTTATGCCACTCGACTTAATGAGATTGTTTTTTCTTCTAGTTTTAATTATAGATAGATACCAAGAATTTTTAAACGGATGCAAATTTAACATCGCTGGTCAAATATTTAGTACATGTGATTGTACAAACTCACCCCCTAAAGAGTTACCCACAACGAAAGAAGAACCAAAAGAATGAAACTTTTTCTAAAGTTGGTGGTGATGATTTGAATTTTGAGAATCAAATTTGAAATATTAATGGTTTTTTTATTATTATTATGTAATTTCTTTCAATAATTGGAGATGAAACAGAAGAAAAAAACTGCTCCTTGCGGTTGGTGAATAATTTTACTAACCATATTACCAGAAGGTCTAGAGAACCCACACATATATGATATTTACAAAAGTGAAGTGTGTGTCACGCGCTCTCGGAGCCAGAAGCAACTGTTTTTCATTTGTGCATGTAATTCTTTTTTAGACATATCATTCCAAAAATAGAAAGACATACATAGATTATGTTTTTCAAAATATTGAAACACTTATCCGTAAATGGTGTTTGGCTTGATTTATTTTTTTCCGGAAATCCTGAGAAAAGTTTTAAAATTATATGTTCACCCTTTTTGAAACAAATGCGACCAAGTTTTTCAGCTTCTCAAAACTGAATTTTTCTTTCTTACTAATATTTAGTTGAATTTTTTTGTGAAATTCTTTTAAAAGTTTGGTTGAGACTCTTCTTCAAATTTTTGAAGCTAAAACGAATGAAAATCTTGAAATTTTGTTCTTCAAGTTAATTACTCCCTCGGTCTCAATTTATGTGGCGGTGTTCGGACTTCAAGAGTCAAATAAGTTTTTCCTTGATCGTAACTTTCTTATATGCTTTTTATGCATTCTGAACTGTTAACTATTGTGACTTATATTTATGTAGTTTCAAACTGAAAGATTTTGATCCAAATTCCCGATCAAAATTAAGAAATTTGACTCTCGAAATTTGAGTTCCGCCACATAAATTGGGCAGAGGGACTACTTTTTTCTTTGGTCAAATAAGTATAGCTTTTCTCAGTTGTGGTGATTTGTATATGTATTTTATCTGGTCATCCCAACATGTCCATAGCATAAAGCTTTGATGTTTATATTTTTCATACTTTGTTTCTATTTAAAAGGTTCCTGTAGAAATCAGATATTGACTATATCTGGATGGATGAAATCTTAAACGAATAAGCCTTTCAGCCTAATACTTTAATTGACGTAAGGTTGAATGGTAGTACCTAAATAGGGGTTGTTCAATTCTTATCCAAGTTTGAGTTAAATTAAATTAGTCGAGGCGATTATTTTCACTTATTAGTAGTTACACTTGTACTACAAAGAAAGAACAGTTCATGGAAAACAAAGAGGAATAAAGAAAATTGTAATGTTGGACGCGGATTTGGTGTAATTGGTAGTGGAGAATGTTCGTAAAAGTCTATGATATTTATTCTTTAGTAGAATCAAAAGCATAGACCACAAAGCTTTTGGGTGGAGCAAAAAGGGCAGCCCAGTGCACTAAGCTCCCATTATACGCGGGAACCGGAGAAGGGCCAAACCACAAATGTTTATTGTACGCAGCCATTTCTGCAATAGGATGTTTCCACGACTCAAACCCGTCTTACCTTTCTGCAAGAGGCTGTTTCCACGACTCAAACTCGTGACCTCCTACTGAAAAGTGAAAACAAGGGTGAAATAGTTGGAATTATCCACGTCCAAGAGGAGCTATCTGCTTTGAGCTGGAAATGAAAGAATCATTCAATAGAAGGCACTTTACTAGGTCTACCTCACACAAATTTATATCTCGTACTTCTTTTAATTATATCTACTGGAGATACAGCCAATATCATCTGTGTGTGTGTGGTGGGGGGTGGGGGGGGGGGTAGGGGGGGGT